ATGACTTTGAGTTGCGGTATTCTATGCTGGAAAAAACCTGTCGTGCTTTAGCCTGGGCGGTAAAACGGTTGTGGAAATATATGTTGAATCATACTACTTGGTTGATTTCAAAAATGTATCCAATTAAGTATATTTTTGAAAAGCCTGCTCTTACTGGAAGAATTGCCCGTTGGCAGATGTTGTTGTCTGAATATAATATTGAATACCATACTCAAAAGGCTATAAAAAGTAGTGTGTTGGAAAATTATCTTGCTCACCAACCAATTGATTATTATTGTTGTACCCCAAAATTTTCCCTCCCATATTTCTTAAGACATGGCAATAATAATCTCCAAGTGGCTCAAGATTACTCAAGAGTTGGACAGTCAAGTCATCTCCTAAGGCAGTCAATCTCAAATTAGGGTTTTGTGTTGCATAAAGGTCCTTACATCCAAATGACCTCAAATTCTCCCCAATGTCCTAATATTTTCTCAAGATCATCCATGTCAAATTTCAAGCCTTGCAGAGGAAGTTTGGTCAGTTAATTGCTCAAAGGGTCCAAAAATCGACTGTGCTAGGGCAAAAGTCAACTGTGACCTACAAATAGTCAAACCTCAAGATTTTTTGTCAACATTCTCATTTTGAAGGATAATTCATAATTTGATCAAGGGTTGATCATGATTCATCAAGTATTGCTCAAGATTCATCAAGATTCAAAAGTTGCTTAATTAGGGTTTTGTAGGAAAAGTCAACTCAACTTTGACCAAGCATAACTTTCTCATACTTTATTAGAAATGACCCATACAAAGCTCATTTTTAATAGGATGAAATTTCCTACAATCCATATTCATACCCCAAGATCAATAAATGCACTCACAAGAAGTTACAAATTTGGACATTATAGGTCATTTTTGAAAGTCAACAAAAACACCTTTTTTTCCAAAGCTTATAACTTGAGCATGGAATATCAAAATGAGATGAGACCAAAAGGGTTGGTTAGAGGACATATCAAGGTTTCTAAAACGTCCCAGAAATCCTCCAAAATTTCTAAATTGAAGAAGTTATGCATTGTTGAAGTTGGGAATTTTTCCAAAATTGCCAAAAGTCAACTATCCCCAAAACTTCAAATTTTGTCAAATGGACCCACTTTTTTCCACTTGATTTGATCTTGTCCCACTAAACACGTGTCCTATCTTCAGTCTTGAGTACAATTATTAATTTTTCTATTTTATTTTATTTTTATTGAATTAATTCATTTTTAATCAATTTAAATCCAAATAAAATCCAAATCTTAATCACTTGGTATCTTTTTGAATGATATAGGCTTTAATTGTCATCATGGACATGATCAAATTCGAATGAAGCTATATCATGCACAAAATATTGATTTTTGGACAAATTTGGAAGCCTATTAATGGAAGATCAAATCATGAATTTTTTTTATTAATAACCAAGTATTAAAATAATATTTCACAAATAACCGCGTTTCGGAAAAAAATACGCAAATAACCATGTTTCAGATGACTCCCCAAAGGAGGAGCCATCTGAAATGGCGCATGCACCTATATTTTAAGAGGAGGCGCCATCTCACTTGGCGCCTATGTGCTTAGGGCATGCCCTAAGCCAAGTGAGATGGCGCCTAGGTGTATTTTTAGGGCAAAAATTGATTTTTTTTTTGTCCGGTGCGTTGCGTGTTGGACAGAGGATCAACAAAATGGACTTTTTATTTAAAAAAAAAATAATTACATCCAACTGTATTACATTAAAATAACAGATAAAAAAACAGATTAAAAAAATGGATAAAAAAATACAGGAAAAAAAAACAGATAAATCAGTAATCCCCCGGAACCCGGTAATGACCCCCGGTTCCGCATCCTCGTCCTCGCCTTTCTCGTGCTGGGTGTCTTCGCGTTTCCTGCTGCGGCAAGGTCGATGGCCCAGCGAAGTCAATGCGGTCCGGCTCCATAAAATCAGTCAAATCTCCATATCTAGAAGATCCGCTTTGGTACAGTCGGTTACCCATACCCTCAAAGTTTGGTCGTGTTGGCGGTGGGTGGGGTTCCATAGTGGGTCTGTAGCATTGATCGTCTGAGTACGGTGGGTAGAAAGGAAATGGATCTTGGGGTGTTTGGTATTGAGGATGTTGGGTGGTTTAGTGATATTGTGGTTGATGGTAGGCTGGGTCAGTTTGTTCGTAATCTTCCGACATTCCCATATCAGGGCTAAGGCTGGATGTTGAGGGGCCCATATTGGGATATGTGGAAGACTGAAATTATGCGTGGGGTATGCGGGTGTGCTGGTATTGGGATTGGTATTGTGGTTGGGTGTGAGGCATATCAAGGTATTGGTAGTGTGGTGGTGATTGTGGTTGGTTGTGTGGCATTTGAGTGTAATTGTGTTGGGGTGGGGACTGTGGTTGGGTGTTTCTGGGTCTGTTTCTTCTTGGGGGTTGGTGGGAGGGTGATGGGTTTTGGGTTTGTTGATGGGGAAACGAGGGTTGTGCCCATTGTGTGTGTGGGTCAACCAAGTACCTTGGATGAGACACGTGCATTTCAGGGTTACTAACCGACCTGTACCAAGACAAATATTGATCCAAGTGTCGCATATTACCTTGAATAAGGAAAACCGGGAATTGCAAGACATAGCGGTGACGCCTCTGCCACATCTTACACCACTTTGGAGCGAAGTCTTTCTAGTTGGTAAGACCCCACTGGGCATCGACCCTTTTAAGATGCCATGGGGACAAACAAGTTGGATCACTTGGTATCTCTTGACACTACAAGAAAAAAAGAGATTTACGACACATAAATTGCGACAGTTCCCACAAAACCGTCCTTATTCCTGAATTGCGACAGTTGTCACGACGGTTAGGCTCAACCGTCGTAGATTTTCAAGCATTATTCCTGAATTGCGACAGTTGTCACGACGGTTAGGCTACTTTTTTTTATTCTTTTACTTTCCCACTATTTTCAGCAACACAATATCATAATATCAACACAATATCATAATATTTTCAGCAACTAATATTTATTATTAAATTATAAACAAAATACAACAAATAAAAATATAAAAAAACAAAATAGGAGTAACAAACAAAATTGAAAGAGGATTAGGTTTTGTGAAAGAGCTTTTTATCCGATTGAAGCAAAGAACCACCGCCGGAAGTACGATGTTGCGCCTAGAATGGTGAAGCTTCCATTCTTCGATTCGACTCAATCTTCTTCATCTTCTGCGCGATCTTTGTATCATCCGAATATCAAGGTATATAAATTATTGATTCAATCTTCTTCTACTTCTTTTCAATTTTCTTTCGATTTTACCGTGGTGATGTGTTTCGGTTGAAGTTGCAGAATCAGTTGCATTGATGAAGATGATGAACGAATGAAGTTATTGATTCAGTGAAGATGCATTGAGGACGATTGAAAAACGGAAGGTGATGATGCTGTTTTGAGATAACCAGAAGGTGAGTTTTTCTTTCTTTCTGTGAATCTCCTTCTGAGTTTTTTGTGTGATTTTCTGATTGAATGAATCGTGAGCCAAGTGAGAGAGTGAAAGTTTTGTATGATGTAAAGGACTTGTGATGATAATGGTTTTGTAATGCTTGTGAACAACTTGTAATGAACATGAATGAACTTTATTTTGATGGAATTAACTTGGAACTTGAATGATTTCAATGATGAATTATGCCATATTGAATGAACCACAATCAAACTTGAGTCCCTTATGCTTGATGCTTAAAACCAATACATGAACACGAACTCTTAAAGTTGATTCGAAACATGAGTCAAGGACTTGAAGTAAACAAGTCACCTAGCTTTAAAGTGACCTTGAAGTACATGGCCACTTTAATTAGGTATGATTTCTATATACAATTTTCATTGCATGATTTGTTTATTTATTTATCAATTTAATTAGGTATGTTTGTGTTGGATATTTTGTGTTCTGGGTCTCCTATGTTGTTTATGTTTTGTCTTTCCTTGTGGGTTTTGACTATCTTAGGATAAAGATGCTAACTTTTTTGCTTTAAGCTTATATATGAAAATGGGCTATTAGAATTATGAGTAATTGATGAATTTTGCTGCTATACTCTTTGAAAAAAAACCAATTTCTGAGTAATTGTTTTTTAATGCTATTGTTAGGGTGGTGAAAAGGTCTCATGTGTGTTCTTCACCTTTGGTGTGATTTTACATAGAGTTTTGTGAAGAAGTTGTTTTAGTTAATTAGGCTCTTGCGTTAATCAATGGTTTTGAGGGTTATAATAATGTAAGTGTCACTGTCAACAACGCTTGACTGAGTAAGAGAGAGAGAGAGAGATTGGAAGCAAGCAAACAAGAACATTGATTTTAGTACACATAGATTAGTGTTTCTAGACTTTTGTTGGTTTTTAACCATTAACAGAAGGAGCTTTTTGATTGCTTATTGGTGATGAATTGAATAGATTTTGGTCATTTATATGTTGGGAGAGATAATCTGAGGTGAATATGTATAACTTGAAATGTTTGAGTTGAAGTTAATATTACTGGTGAAACTTAATTTTACTTCAATGAATCTCTGTTGCTTTCTTCTTTATTCCATGGTGTAGTTAATGATATCGTCACGGTTGTCATTTTTTTCTCGTCCTCTTTCAATCTCCTCATCGCAGTTTATATCTTTTAGTAGCATGCTTTATACCTATACTTGTAAACAATTGAGTACATACATTAAGAGAATTTCATGTATTTGCTGACAAAAAAAATGTTATCATGCTTCATTGCTAACTCTTTTTTTTTTGTTGTCTTTTCTTTATCTGTTGACCTGATGTCTGCTACTCTTGTATGTGGTGCAGGATGCAAGGTTTATTTAATGAAACCTTGTTGGACTTGTAGCGTTATTTAGTATATCAGTTGAGCCCTTCGACGACCTAGAAAATCTATCAGTTGAGTTTCATATACATTGATTAAAACAAATTTGACATTTCACTTATGTTTCATAGATGTGATATTGATATTGTTGAGCATGAATTCATAAATCAGGAGATAAACATGCTTAGTCCTGAAGGTGAACTGAAAATAAGCTTCGGCTATCAATGCAATGACGACAGAGGTATCCCTTGCAAGGTTGCCAAAGGCTGCAAAATCCTTCCTGAAATGCGAAGAACAAGCAGTTTCTCTTGTTTGTCTGGTGATGCTTTGAGTGCAAATGCTACACTTGCCAACACAAACATCTGCAATGGTGTGATAGGAGAAGAAATCCTTCCGAATTTGGACTCTCCTAATTCATTTCGGCGGGTTCCCTCTTCGCCATGTCTTGGAATGTTGGACATGCTATCATCTTCTTTCCAAAGTAGTTTGTCAAACCTAAGTTGCAGCCCATCCAGTCCAAGTCTTATGCTTGAATACGACCCTTGTTTGTTAAGACTCATGAGTCCTTCCTCTAGAAATGAAAGTTTTCTCAATGCAACAGAAGTACAAGTAGCAGGAGGAGCTGCTGGTGAAGATAGAGTTCAAGCAGTTTGTTCTGAAGAAAATGGTTGGCTATTTTGTGCAATTTATGACGGATTTAATGGGAGAGATGCGGCGGATTATCTTGCTTGTACTCTTTATGACTCTATTGTATCTTATCTTGCTTGTACTCTATTGTTGGTTTCCGATTTCGTTCGACTTTGCTTTAAATATGAAGGTTCTGCAGTTCAGTGCAGTAATCAAATTGGTGTAAGTAATGGTGACTCTGCATCTGTACCGTATTTGAAGGATTGGCATTTTGTGAAGGTATCATTTTTGGCTTTTCATCACTTTATCATTCATTGTTGTACATTTGTAGTGCCTTTTCATAATTTACTTTGAAGTCTGCCCCTGTCAACCTAGATAATCCTCTTGTTGCATTAGAGTTATCATATGTTATGTTATACTACAGATGATGATTTACTAAGTAATTTCTTTTTCTAACTATTGCAGGAGTATCCTGATTACGTACCATACATCACTCCGATGTTCTTTTGTGATGATTGGCTCAACTTGTATCTCGATAACTTTAGAATGAATACTTATTCCGACAGAGACCAGCAAAATAAGGAAATATGTTGCTCTGACTATCGTTTTGTTTACATGGGAGTAAAAGGTGTGATTTTAGTTGGGAAGAAATCTTGAAATGACCATGAATCTCAGATGATTCTGCACTTTTCTATGCGAAGAGATGAGCAATCCAACAGTAACTTCTTACTTTCACTTCTTCTGGCAGGATCTTGGACTCCTCTACATGCTGATGTTTTCAGAGCAGCTCCGAAGGCTCTTCAAATTGATGAAGATGGTGAGAAAATCAGATAGCAATCTCTTCAGAAACTTAGGTACGAATACCTCACTTTCTCACTTTGAATTCACATTTCATTGGTAATTCATCTTCTTCAAATCTCTTCCACGAATTTGCTTCTTGTTTTTACTACAATGTTATATGGAATTATTGTTCTGTGTGATTTGAAAATCATTGAACATGATGATGATGCAGTTTTGATGAAGTATGCGTGATGTTGATTATCGTTGTTGAGAAGCCGATTCGGACTTGTTGATGAAAATGATTTTGTGTAGAGAAGCAGTTAGAGAGTGAGTTTTGGAGAGATGAAGTTCTGAGAAGAGTTTCGGATGTGTGCAGAACGAATTGTTGAAGTTTTAGAAGTGAAATCGTTGAAGACTCATAGAAGATTTTTTGTAATTCTCTCAAGTTGTAGCAAACCAATGTAAATATTAAAATGAAATTTGGCCTTTGATGATATTTGAAATTTTCTTGTTTATTGGTAAAATTTGCACTTCTTTTTACCTTTGATCACATTTTTTTGATATTATTGATGATTATTTGATATTAAATGTTTTTATTGTAATTAACTTTATTATGTTGAAAAGTGATAGAAAATAAAATAAAAATACTATAAATAAAAAAATATTAAAGTAAATAATAATTTAAATATAATAGTAAAATATTATAGTAAAATAATATTATATTTAAAATTATTTTACTAAATAATAATTTAAATAAAAATATTATTTGAAATTTATAAATCAGATTACGACGGTTAAAACCGTCGCAATTTCTAACCTACGGCGGTAGAATAACCGTCGCAAACAACAACAAAAACAAAAACTAAAGTCAAATTCACGACGGTATATAACCGTCGCTATCTGTTGTGCGTGACAGTTTTTGCAACCGTCGCGAAATAGGCTGGGGACGCACGATTCTGCGACGGTACTTCTACCGTCGTAGATTGTAAATTGCGACGGTTTTAACCGTCGTAATCAGCCAAAATAACCGTCCCAATCTATCATTTTTCTTGTAGTGTGATGCATTCCGAACTGCATCTTCACACGGTCGTTGTGGTGCATCTCCACAATGTTGAACCGAATGATTGCAGTCTTCACGGTCCAAGTTGCTGCATCCTCCGGGTTTGGATCATGGCCCAAACCCAAATATGGTCTCCAGACGAACTGTGATAAAATTTAAATCAGGTTAACGCAAAAGTAATGTATAAATAATTTAATTGAGCAAAAGTTAAAAGCTATGACGTACGTCATCCGGGCCTAAGTGATCCAACAGATTGCGGTAGAGTGCGACATTGAATCTTGGATTCTTGCCGTAATCCATACCCCTCACGCAGTACCTAAAGGAAATGAGAAACATTTTATTCTTAGCATATATTTGGTGAAGAGATGAATAGTAATAAATGCTATAACTTGATGACTTACTTTGTTGCGTACGGGAAACCGAAAGTGTTGTTGTTGACGAGGTTTAAGGACTCCATCCTCCACCAACCCCAGGCTTGTAGTAAAAAAGTGCACCCATAAAATGTACATTTTTCCTTGACTACGTTTTTGCACAAGGAACTGCATAGGTGGGCTAAAACTGCAGAACCCCAACTATATTTTCTTGTTTTTTCAAAATTTCTTAGTAAATGTAAATACATAAAATTTACACTATTTCCCGTACTTTCGGGAAATAAAAATGTACCAAAAAGTATCATAAGATAAGTTCTTCACACTGAGAGTTGGGTTGTTGAACCGACTTGTTCACGGCCTTACCGTCGACAGGGAGACCTAGTAGCATGTACACATCCTCTAGCGTGATGGTACATTCACCTATTGGTAGGTGGAATGTATGGGTCTCTGGTCTCTACCTTTCCAACATTGCAAGAATGAACTTCGAGTCAATGGTGCAGTTGGAGATCTTTATGACATGTCCAAAACCTGCGTATTCCAGATATGGGATGATAAATGGGTCGGGAGCCAGGTAGTTGTGCGAACGGATTATGAATCTTTTTGTGTCCTGAGTTCATAATGTAACATGATTAAGATTAATTAAGATGAACAATGCGTTATTTGAAGTATGAAAAATGTATAACCAAAAAAGAAACTTACAAATGCGGCAATGTTTACCCTTGTGCCTCTGTGAGTATCGCCCATTGTTAGAAGAGCCATTGTTTAAAATGCTTGAGAGTATGAAAGACTTAGGAAGAGATAGAGATTATGATAGACTTATGAAATATTTCATAGCAGAGAGTGAGACTTGTGTGGGTGTGAGAGATGTATCACATGGTATGTATTTATAGGCAAATAAATTTGATATAGTGGTTGCTTGTGCTTGCATGCCTGCGAAGTGTCACATTTGCAGGCTAGGTGGCAGCCTAGGGGGTTACACATATGCATGCATGCATGTACAAAAAATGAAATGTGTCACTCTTGCAGGCTAGGTGGCAGCCCATGCATGTATCATGATTGGACAGTAAGGGAGGCACCATTGGACTTGGCGAAAGAGTACAAAAATGAATGGTGTCGCCACCCCAATTGGAAAATAAGAGGTGTCCTTTGTTGCAGCCTAGGTTCAGGCTACGTGACAGCCTTTGGGATTCCTTGCATTAGTGCATGTAAGCCCATTGGAGTTGATGGGAGGAGACTTACAAAATACATGTGTAGGTGCAGACTTGGGGCAGGCTAGGTGGCAGCCTAGGGGGTTACACATATGCATGCATGCATGTACAAAAAATGAAATGTGTCACTCTTGCAGGCTAGGTGGCAGCCCATGCATGTATCACGATTGGACAGTAAGGGAGGCGCCATTGGACTTGGCGAAAGAGTACAAAAATGAATGGTGTCGCCACCCCAATTGGCGAATAAGAGGTGTCCTTTGTTGCAGCCTAGGCTCAGGCTACGTGACAACCTTTGGGATTCCTTGCATGTAACATTATTGGCAGCCTTGGGGGGTTGCATCCTTACTTAATTGAAATTTTTAGCCTTACGTTTATCATAACATTGATTCACATAATCTGTCAAATCTTCCAACCTTCAAACGTTCTTACAACCAAACCTTCAAACCTGCAAACAATCAAACATTCCAACCTTCGAATCACTCATAAAATTCAAACATTCCAACCTTCAAACATTACAGCATTCAAACCTTCATACAATCAATAAACCTCAAATATTCCAAGCTTCAAACCTTAAAACAATTCTACGCAATGACCTCTTCACCATAATTTGTCGTCAAAGCACATTTCAACGGTGAGACATACATTTGTCCCACCGCTGGGTTTTTGTTTAGAGACACAGACAACATCCGATTTCTCTTAAACGGGAAAGCCAATTTCTCGTACTTCGAAAAAATATTGGAGGCCAAACTTGAACGAGGCCCGTTGTCCCAGATATTTTATCAGAATCCAGTTTTCTTTGGAAACAACCAAGTAATTTTTTATAAGGTTGAAGTTCAAGATGACGAGGATCTCCAGAATATGATTTCCAGCCATGTCTATTCCGGATACGACTCTATTGAGTTGTACGTTTTGCTGCGAGAGCCTCAGGTGACACAGGAGGTTGATCCTTTGGAGAATGAACAAGCTGAGGTAGATGCAGTTGATGATGAAGAAGAAGATAACGAGTTAGATTTTGATGAAATGGTGAATGATGATTCCAACGATGATGGCATCCCTAGTATTCCTGCAAACAAAATCTACACACCACCTCTGCACATGACAAACTTCAACATGGGCAGAGATGAACCTTCTACTGACTTATTTTTCAATCCGTATATGCAGTCGGATGAAAATTTAAAAGAGAAGGACAAGTTTCGTAACAAAGAGGAATGCATCAGGGCCATTAAAAAATTTCACATGCTCAACTCGGTTGATTTTAAGGTGGATCGTGTCAACCCGGAAAGGTACAAGATCAAGTGTGTCCACCCTGATTGTATGTTCAAGCTGACCGCATCATACAGATTAAGGGGTTACTGCTGGGTCATAGGTTCCATGACTACCCACACTTGTGTAAGTTCCACTCAATCACAAGACCACCGAAAACTCAACTATGATCTAATCTGTCAAGAAATCCTACCCCTGGTCAGCAACGACCCATCTTTGAATGTGAAAACAATCATCTCCCACATCACCACGGTTTTTAACTACACTCCGTCTTACCGTAAGGCGTGGTTAGCAAAGACTAAGGCGATTGAAAGGGTGTACGGAAACTGGGAGGAGTCATACCGAGAACTTCCCCGCTACCTGAATGCACTCAAGACGTATTCTCCAGGTAGTGTTTACGTTCTGGAAACTTTGCCAGCGTACGCCCAATATGGTAGTCTACTGAATGGCAACGGAATATTCAGTCGCGTGTTTTGGGCATTTCAACCATGCATCACAGGGTTTGCATCATGCAAACCAATTATACAAATTGATGGGACTTGGTTGTATGGGAAGTATAAAGGCACGCTATTAATGGCAGTTGCACAAGATGGCAACAACAACATTTTCCCCATTGCCTTTGCCCTTGTCGAGGGGGAGACCGGTGGTGCTTGGAGCTTTTTCCTGAAAAATTTGCGGACACACGTGGCTCCTCAACCAGATCTTTGTTTGATCTCGGACAGACATGCCTCCATTGAAAGTGCCTAGAATAATCCAGCAAATGGTTGGCATGACCCTCCTTCTACGCATGTCTATTGAGTTAGCCATATCGTCCATAATTTCTCGAGGGAGGTCAAGGACAAAATATTGAGGAAAGCGGTTATGAATGCGGGATATGCATTGACACAACCCACATTCAAATATTACCGCAACGAGATCCGTTTGTCTAATCCGGAAGCCGGTAGGTGGATCGAAAATATTCCGGTGGCAAAATGGACTAGGTCATACGACAATGGCCAAAGATGGGGGCATATGAAAACGAATCTTATTGAATCAATGAATGGGGTATTCAAAGGCATACAAAACCTCCCAATCACTACCTTGGTAAAATATACGTATTTTAGGATGGCTGCGTTATTTGCAAAAAGAGGTGAAATATGGAATGCGGTGTTG